TCGCATCCGTGGAGAAGTTGCACGTCTGGTGAGAGGTGCGCCCACCCTCGTGTCTCACATTCCAGCCGCTTTGCAATTACTGGCCACTCCATCGAATCTCGAGGCGGACATTCCGGAGGTGAGCTTAAATCGGACTGTGTTCCAATAATGCGCCTGCTGCTTAAACCTCTCTCTCTCTTTCTTTCTCCCTCTCTCTCTCGAACAACGGGTGTTTTGAAAACCTGCAGTAGTAGCCCTGCTTGTTCGTCGAATTCCGATTTAGCTCAGTGGTGGCCTACCGCCATCTGTTTGCTGTGAGGTCGTCAGCCTGGCTGGCACAACAACTACGTTAGCTTGGAAGTTGGAAACACAGTCAAGTCAGGTCTAATTGGTGCACGCTAATAATAGCCTTGCAGTTAAGTCCACAAATGACTTTTTTAATTATCCATCAATCTAGCACAGGAAATAAATCAATGAAAAGGAATCCAATTGCATCGTTTCGGTTGCTAAAGTTCGTGTTTTCCATGACTCTACTTCTAGTCAACTTGGGAGGAGCACACTTGCTTTCCAATAAACCCCACAATCAAAGCGTAATCGGTTTAACCGCATAGAAAACTTCAGGGTTAAGTTGGTGATCAAATCTGGACTGCCTCATTCCTTGGGGTCTGCCTTCGCCTTCTGACTGCTTCAAGAACTCAGGGCCTCTGAGTTCATAGGAGGGTAGTAGATTTCACCAGTTGACGCCGGCTATTCTCGTGAAATTTGACTTCACCCCATTCTGCATATCAGTCCCATTTAGATCTAACCGAAGGCCTTCTGTGTCTGTTGCTTATTTTACTTTGATCTCTGCGCTCTTAAAGTGTACATAATCTCCGCATTCTTGCCTCCTTTTAGCTGGCTCACGTCCTTTCATGGTCTCCCGTTCCCCCGGTCACTGCTATCTCCTTCTTTTCTCGAATGTACCCTCAACATCCGCTGACGCAGCAGTACGCCGTTCGCGTCCTCACTGGATATGCCCCCGAGACGCTTATATTTTACGTACCTCAACTCGTTCAGGGCGTCCGCTATGACAAGGTGTGTCTCCTTGCCTTTTTTGTTGTATGCGTTATCTTCCTCGATTTACCTCGGCTTTAAGTT